ATGCCCTAAATATAGGTATGCACAAAATCCTAAAATGTAGAATGTTTTATCTTATTTTGTGCAATACATTAATTCTGCATTCTATTGTTAAGATTTTTATATGCAATTTAAGTTAGTTTTACAGTCATTCTCTGTCTTTGGTGTTGTTATCATGCACAAGTTCAGAGTGTGTGCTGACAAAAAAGTAATGGATTATAACAATTGCTCTGCTGTAGCACATTTAGTGTTAAACTCTGTCAAAAGATTAGAATCGTTGGACAAATGTCTTTAACAACATGGTGTGAGGGGAAGGTTGTAAATCGTCCAGTGATGTTGAAGTTCATGAGTAAGCTAATGTAAGTCGTAAATAAACATAAATCACAAGGTCTATAAGAAGGGCATCTAATAATAAGCCTCTCAAACAAAGATGTTTGTGGTCGTAATGAGTTATGGGAATTTAATTATAATATAGTATTTGAAAATAATTTCCATATGTGAACTAGATGAGGCTTTTGGACATAAGAAGGGGTTGCATGCTTATATAATTAATATTTATATCGTGCTAATTAACATGGTGTGATTCTAGGCTTAGTTTCCAGCCCTCCCCCCATGGGAGTCATTTCATTCATTTCAATGCAATCCTCAGGAGACGCTGCCTCCTGTTGGCTCATCTGCTCACATCTATAAACATCGTTTTGTTTATGTATTGGAGATCTCGCTGTAATTTTAAACCACGCTTGACCATGCTGAGTTTGGCTAATCGGTCTGCTGTGACAGCATGCTCACTGGTATTCAGACACTGAAAATGATATAAGGAGAGATACACAAAGGGATGAAGAGAGGGAGAGTTACGAGAATAATTTAACAAGGGATTTGGCAGATAAATAAATGACAGATGTGTTTTAGATACGAGGTAAACAAAATGAGATCTCCTTCACCTTTCACTGGGTCTGCTTTCTCTCACTCCATCATTCTTGCACAAGATTTGATTGTCATCCTAATAGTGATGTCTCTGATTTTGAAACTTCACGAGAAAGCTGAAATCCACAATATATGAAAACAAAGCAGTTGCTATTGTGGTTGAATTAATGCCAGAATGAATACAATGTGTTTAGTTTTTACACAGAGCCATGTGTATAGATAGATACATACAGGATGGATGGATGGATGGATAAACTTATAAGGCAATTACCTGTTAAAACCAAAAATTAATTTAAAATAAAATACAAAATAATGATAAAAAAAAAAATTTAATTGCACACTGGTGATAGTGATGATTTGTTAAAAATAACACATAATTTAATATAAAAATCTATAATTTTCTCTGACCAGCATATAAATACTTTTATATAAAGAGAAAAGACATGCTAAGATCTAATGTAACAAAATTGATCAGTATACTTTCTATGACAACATCCACAATACACTTTCCAAAAACAGCAACAACACTCCTATTGACATTTTCTCTTAAATGTACATCTTATTCACAATGAGGTGCAAGAACTGTGCATGCAAACATGCAGGAGCATTTTCATGCCAGCTACTATGACTAACACTGCGCATGTACTCATGACAGCTAAAAAGATTTCAGACTAAAAATCCTCTTTAGAAAGACCAATCTCCTAACAAAGCATCTTTTGCAATTGTTTTTACACAACCCATGTAAATTTTCACATGTAACTATACAATTACACTATAAATCACTATTATAAAACATACATTTTATGGCTCTCGAAGAGAGACGTTTGTGTTTGTCCACATGTACACAGACATGCAAGCACATGACACGAATAGGGAGGATGCAAAAACACAATGTCAGACTGTCTAAATCACATTACTTTTTTCCTGGAATAAGGAAGAAGATGAAAATAAAACCTGGTCACTAGAGACCCAAAAGGTCACCGTTCAGCTTTACAGCTTATTAAGAGACTGAGAAATCTTGAGCAGATTAATGAGGGAAGGAAAAACAGAAAAACACAAGACAGATACCAACTCTAATGCTGAAGCTTAATGTCTGTGCTGTTGTGCACAAAAAAACGGCGTCACTTGAGTCAGTAGTTTGGTGAAACACAATCAAACGTCAAGGAGTCCATTTTACTTGCATATTTCTCTCCTGATCGATGTGTATGAAAGAATGGCTATGAAGATACATCATACGCCAAACGGTCACCATGAGCGGCACGGTTTCCCTCACGTTCCTACTGAGCGGTGGTGAGATGCACAGTTCCTACAGGAATGATGGCGGAGCAGCAACCTGCAGATGATGGAGGTGGTCTGGGTGACAGCCTTTCTGTGCGTGTAGAGCACAGACTCATTGGTTTGTGTGTCTTGTCATAGACGGAGCATCACTCAGTGCTCAGACGGTGGAGAAGTCATCTTGACAGGCGGAAGCGCGGCGTGTGGAGGGGCTGCATTTTGTCATCATCGTGATTTGGGAGCTGAAGTTGAGGCCGTTGCTTGCCATCGAGGGCTGCTGGTATTTGGTGTCAGCTCCCAGAAATCTCTGCATGTGCCACCGCCTCCACTTTCGTTTGATCTCAGACTGGACCTGGAGAGTGCATGTATGAGGTCAGGAAAATATCAATATTTTTCTAAGATGATTTTTGTTAGATAAGGCTTTTAGGATCATGAGAAGCAAATTCAGTCATGTGTTTCCAAACTTTTGACTGGCATGTACAGTTCTCTCTAATACATAAAAAACATTCAATTCTGATAATATTACCTCTCCATTTAGAAAACAGTAAAGGACTGCAACACAAAATCCCTGAAGAAAAATAAAGAGAACAATCAATTTGAGTTTATGTAAAATCATGCTAAATTCAATTGCAATTGTTCAAATTATAATTTTGCAACAAACACATTTTAAAATGAATGAAAATAATTAAATACAAAATAAATCATTTTTATTTGAAATCTAATTTCAGTATTTTCTGATCATAATATTTAGATACATTGATGCTGTTCTTATGATAAACTGTTTTTAATTATATATCAAACATTAATTAAATTAACCATTTTAGTCTACAAAAAGCAAACTCCTTTGACTTTAGAGAAAGATGGATGGTAAGTCTTTGAAGTATTTAAAATGAAAATTCTGTCACCATTTGCTCACCCTCATGTTGTTCCAAACCTGTTTCTTTCTTCTGTTGCACACAAAAGAAGATATTTTGATAATGTCTTTATTCTTTTCAATACTCAAACCGTATTAAAAAATACAGATTTGGAACATCACGAGGCTGAGTAAAGTTTTGGGTGAACTAAGGCCATTTTTGTATATCCTCGTTCAACCTTTTCATCTGGCTGCATAACAAACATGGAGGGAATAAATATCACTGGGCATGTCTGGGGTTGCGGCGTGCTGGCAGATCCCACGGTGAGTCTATTGCTGTGGCCAATCTTAGTATTCTATTGGCATTTAGAGAATCCAAACTAGATAAGCAACACTTATAGAACAGTACAACTGTGGGTAAAAACATATTTCAGTCTCCTGCCGCCTACCTGAAAGGACCCCAGGATCAAGTCAAACACCAGACGCACATAAGACTCGATGTGATGAGGTATGAAAGCAAAGATTATGTAGTTTATCCCAAACAAGGGAATCAAAAGTAGAGTTGATTTTGCCAGTCTCCTGTAGATCAAAAGAAATGGCATATGTTGGAATACGTTTGTGTTTATATTGTGCATGTAATACAGCAATGTCTGTGGTCTAAAAACTCACGAGTACTGGTGTGACTCATTTCTCCCAATATCCCGGCAACTGATTTTCTGACGAAGTATCCGGATGATACAAATGAAGAGAATGAAGTTCATCTAGAAAAACAGCAATGACAGATTAGGCCCCGTTTTAAAGTATTTCATGCACCACCTGCCATATTTGTGATTTCTGCTGTAAGGCCACTCACCAGTATTGTTATCAATGTAGGGGTTTTTATAATCCACCACAGATCATCGTCAATAAAATCCCAACATCTATCAAAAGAAAATAACAGAAAGAAATTATTAATGGAGCAACACATTTGGGTTCCTAAGTAAAATTCCCAACCATTTCTTGCATAGAGAAATTAATTTTAAGCAGTAATGTATGAACCGTTTAAGACAGACCTACCTTGAGCTCCAAGGTGATTATGTGATGGTTTATGCTTCTTTAGAAGCCATAAAATCACAAATGATTTCAACTTTTGTTTGTTTGTTTGGTCTACTTAATAGTCAAATGTCTGGGTAAGAATCCTGAAGAGTGATCAGTCACTGTTACTATGGAAAGTAAACTACTGGCCACTTAAAGTCGTGACTCCTTTCAGACATGATTGATTTAGTGCATGTCTTGAACTCTTTGTTAAATAATTGTTTAAAATCCCTATGTAGAAAATGACTGGGAAAAATATTTCCAGAGCAAAGGCTGTTGAAAAAGTGGACTCTCACTGTTTGAACAATCCACACACTCTCAGAAATAAAGGTACAAAAGCTGTCACTGGGGCGGTACCTTTTCAAAAGGTACATGTTTGTACCTAAAGGGTCCATTTTGGTATATTAAAGGTACATATTAGTACTTAAAGTGTACATATTAGAACCTAATAGGAACAAAAGTGTACCTTTTGAAAAGGTACCGCCCCAGTTACAGCTTTTGTACCTTTATTTCTGAGAGTGCATGAAGACTTTATGCAAAACCAAACAAAGAAATAAATAAGAAAAACGTGGCAATGAAAATGAAATTATCCACATAAATTCTTTTCAAATGTCTCCTCCTATGAGCTCTGCTCTAAATATAGCCTACTGACCTCCATGAAGGCATGCCATTTATCATCAAGGAACAGCCTTCAGTGAAATTTACAGTGTCAGCTATACTGTAGCTATTGACAAAAGGTGTGTAGAAGACAGAAATGCAACTGAGCTCATAAACTCATAAAAATAGTCATATCCTTTACTCTGTTTTAATTGTTGCTCTTAGGTAACAGTGGCTACAAGAAGCGAAATGAATTTTTATGGCTCCCATGAATGTGTACATAAAAATATTGCAAAGTATCAAAGTGCCGTTCTGCGAACACAAAGTTGCATTTACTCACCCAATATCATGTAAATAAGCTTTTGTGATGCTCCAGATTGTTATGAAGACACCTGGAACTCCTGGAACACAAACACACATATTGACTAGGAATATTGTCAATATTTGAATACATACAGCTCTGACATGTTGACATCTCTGTCAGAAGGCATATTTCCAGGGATCCCTTATTTAACTGGCCTACGTGATCATTAGGAATTCAATAAAACAAGTGGATTGCCAATTAGCCTTAAACCTTATTTGACCCTGAGATCTGAGCCTGCTTATCCTAAATTTAAGAAAAGTGACATGTGAAACGTCTGACAACATGATACAGTGACGTCAGTGGAAATGTTAACTGTTAAATCTTGAGTGTGTACATGCACAAGGTCCTATTGACTTTAGTGATCAATCTGTCATTTGCATTTGACAAGCGTTTCTCTCCTGCCATGAAGAATTATGAGGCCGAGGGGCAATACATCTTAATGCCACTGAGCACATACGCACCCCAGCCAATGAGAATGTACCACCAGAAGTACTTCCTCTCAGAGAAGAAGGATACGGCCAGGAGAGCATGCAGATACAGACCCTCCACCAGTAACCAGAAGAAACTGGCCATCACGCCATACTGGAAGAAAACCAAGGCAGCCTTGCAGCCCACCTGTAAAATGCAGAGAGGATTTTGTTTAGAGCTATTATGCACTTGTGTATATTATAACAGGAACTGCGGTCTTGAATGTTTACCATGTACTTAAACAAAGGGAATGCCTTTGCGCTGGTGTGTTGCATGCGCTAGGCACTAGAAAACATTGTGCAATACTTATAAAGAGGGACATTAAAAAGAGCGTAAACACATATAAAGAACCTCTGTATGCTGTTCTGTTAATGGTTGACGCTCTTGTAGTGCGCTGACTGTTCAGAAATGTTTTTTCTTTATTATCACCTAGAAGTGTTTCTTAATTATTGCAACAATCACACAGCCCTAAACAATCTTCAAAGGAATGATCTCTAATAAATAGCGAATCCATTTTAATTAATGACACTATCTAACTAAGCCTAAATAATCTACAGGCTGTTTAAATGTCAAACATGTTTTTGTGACCTTGCAAAAGTGTTTACAGAGGGGACACCGTGCCATCATGAGTGTTTGAGCACCCTGTTGTTGTGACAGAGGTGACATATTCTGTTGGCCGACAGCTGCGTCCAGACGGCCCAAAACACTCAGACCCAGATGAAGAGTGTTTATACAGGAAAACACACAGAGAACACATTACTAAACCAAAGCATTGGATGCTTTTGACTTAATTAAGAAAATGTCATTGTTTTACAATTATTTTAAAAACTTGAACACTGCATATGATATTAATAACTATGAAAATGGCACTAAACAAGATAAACATGACCGTGATGTTGGGTAAATACAATGTCGGCCATGTCCGGATGAGGGAGGTCATTTACAAACTCTTCAAAGATCTTGAAGGACTGCTCAAACACTGCTATGCCTGGCCACAAAATGAGATTAAAGAGCAACTTTGCCAAACACTATTTAAAGAGCAAACCTTGTGACAAAACACTAGAGCAGTTTACTAACGACAGTTTATCAACTGCGGAGATGATGCTGTTTGTTTCTTTTGAGGGGAAAAAAATTACATTCGCATGATGCGTTTACATTTAGCTAAGAAGGTAGTAATAAAGTAAAATGCAGCCAAATACAGTGTAAAAAGGTTTTGTCAGGTATAACCTAAAGAACGTGCTTTATGTGGTTTTATTCCAGTAAAAAATATGATGTAATATCACTGAATCAACCTGACTAAGTTAGGTTACACCAACCAAAGTCATTTGTAAATGTTAGTTCAAGTAAAACTGCCTGTTAATATGTTTTACAGTGTACCAGGAAACATAATTGTAAATATAACTGGACTGCTACATTTTACTATATGTCTGTCTGGAATACTTCATTCTGATTGGTCAGTGGCAGATGTCAGCGGTTGGGTTTTCAACAGTCAAGTTCTGGAAGTAAAAATCCCATTCATTTTCTTCATAGGGGAATTGATTTTTAATAATAAATGTATACAGTTAAAGACAGACCTACTGTGTGCTACGAGGTTGTTGATATGCTTCTTCTGAAGCCAACAGCCCACATTGTACTGCATTAACCTAATTTTTTTTTAAATCATGTTTTACTCTGGAATTCCTGGTAACAACCACATTACACATGATTCTGCGAAGAAATTCCACAAAATAAAAACCTCTCTAGCGCCCACCCACTTTCATGAACCCCTGCGAATGACTTGAGACTTAAAAAAAGTCATTTAATGTGTCCAAATTTGCCTACAAAAATAGTATGTGAAAGAGTAGTATGTTTGAATTCATATTATTCATAAAACAGTAGGCAAAAAGTTCATAAATGACCTACTACTTTCACAAGATTCTGAAGTGTGCATCCAATATCCAATGAATACTTTACTATCCCCCATGATGCCATGTAAGAGGAGATAATGACGTTAATCACGACAATGACAACAAGGTACTACATATATATATATATATATATATATATATATATATA